TCTTCGATAATAGGTGGATTAACTCTGCTCCAGACTTACGTGTACATACATGAATATTATTATATATTAATTATTTACTTTTACTCGAAAGTTTACACAGCACTGATGAAAAAGGAAGATCAGCCTCCGAGTCCTTGATTAATCAAATCAAGAGGGAAATGTAATTTATTCTATTTTCGGTTCCGAGATATATAATATTGGCAGAAAAACGAAAACGAGGATATATTGTAATTGTGTGGCGCCCTCTAAAAGGAAAACAAGATAAAACAAGAAAAATTCATTCGTGTTTGAAAGCATTTACGAAGGACGAATTTGAATTTCATACATACCATGTGCCTTGACGTTGAAGAAAGGCCCAGGTCCTGGTTTACGGTGATCCTTGCTTGGTCTTTGCTCAAAGAGGCAGGTAATCAACAAACGAATCCTTCTTTCATTTTGATAAGGGTAGCAGAGAAGGTTAATTGAAGCCTAACGTACATTTGCTTCTTTCTTGGTGAGCAATACGTCGATTGATTCCGAGGAGAACGGGACGAATGGATGGGCGAAAGAAGGAACGGCGGTGAATGGATGGCGGGGCAAGTCAACAGAGATGCAAGTCCAGAACGTTAGAATTGCACCCGGGCAAGATAGGGATTCCGGTCATACTTCACCTTGCATGGACTGTCGATCCTGAACATGACGAAATGAGTAGAGGTTGGGGAGGAGGGAGACAGCAGACAAGGAGACCAAGAGGCTGGATGCATGATTAAACGTCGTCGACGACGTCCGCCTAACCCGAGCCCTCTATAGCCACTCGATCACTCTACATGTGGAACACTGAACAACAGACAGTCGATCATGACGAACGTCGAGTTGGAGAGATCCACTTAAAACCCACTAGTTTAATGTGACAGCTGCGTACGATGTCATTGGTGAGACTAGTCCGACGACGACGAGGGCGAAAGCGAGCCTGAGTCGTAACACGGGTCGGGGCACTGCATCTTCCATGGAAGAGAAGAGGATTTAGAGCGTCGGCTGCGTCCGGCGGTAGACTAGAACTGGGGTAGGGGTAAGGAGGAATGGTGTAAAATGTCAAAATTCTGACCTAGGCCTCCAGGCTTAGCAATTTGGTTCAAGCCTTTGCGAGTGATGATACCTGAAATGGACCCGCTTGTACATTTCTAGAAGTTCGGCTGAGCTGAGGTGGGCAGGTAACAGGGAAGGCAAGGAAAAGGGAAGACATATGCTGGCTTCTCCACAGCCGGGAGGGAAGGGTGATGGGATCCATATGTATGTTGTAACTTTGGCAGGGTAGGTCCACAAGTCTATAGGTATACCGAACACAGAACATATGATTTTGATTGCATTCCAACTGACATGTCTGTCAGTCAGCGCGGCAAGTTAGCGGTGCCGTTCACCTGTTGGTCGGTTGCTGCGAAAGAGGGTGCTTTCTTGTTAATGCTTGATTTAGAGCTTGAGTTTAAAGGACATGCAATACAATCATGTATTCGTAAATAACTTGTATGTGTGTGGTTGTGACCGAGACTGCGGGATGCGGGCGAGAACAGGTGGATCTTGAAACCAATCGAGACGAAACGTATTCAAGCAGGTGCACCGTGTATTGACGGAAATCAAATGCAAAAATGAGTCTGCCTTGAAGTATTGTTGTTGTTCTTGTTGTTGAATGTGGACGTCGGCTCGGTCGAGAGGCTAGGAAGGGCAACATTGTCATATTACCATTTGTGCATCAGAAAAACAGAGTTTTTTCTGGAATTGCAGTGCAGAGCCGCGGCAAGTTGCGGTCGAGGTGGCCCTGCGACTATCGTATAGAGCGCTTAAAGGAGTAATACATCGAGACTGACGGAGATTGGGTGATGTATGTAATGCGTAACGCGAACGAATGGGGAAGAGCGATCCCAAAAAGGATATGTGGAACCAAAAGATTGTCAGAGACAAGTAGGAGAGGTGTTTTCGAGCTATCGGGCGGTATGGGTCTACGGTATCGGTAGGATGTAGAGGGGTGTTTGCAGGATAGACTCCTGGGAGGACGGAGGAGTGGAGGAAGAAAAGAGATTCGTGTTGCCAAGGACCAGATACTCGGATCGGGATAGTCTAAAAGGGTGATTCAGGGCAAGAATTGAATTGATCAAGGTAAACCTGTTATAAAAAGTCGTCGTTCCGTTGCCTCATTCCTCCGTTCCTCTCCGCCAAAATGTCGACCGTCTCTCTGTTTTCTACCTTTCCCGAAGAGTTGGTCGACCGAATCCTACAACTCGCTGTTTCTCGCCCCGCTGTGCCTGTCCAACGCCCAACTTGGCACGTGTCATCACCCACCGCAACGACAACCACCCCGACGACCACAACCACAAGAACCCGGCTTTCTACTTTGCTGGTCTCTAAATCATTCCACAGAATTGTATTGCCCCATTTCTACAACGATATCCATATTTCCTCCACCGGCCAGGCACAGGCCCTGCTCCATGTTCTCCACGAAAATCCAGCCTACATCCAATGGATTTCACGCATCCACCTCGCTGGCATATTTGATGGTGTTCCTCAACTCGTTACTCTCTGTACCCAAGTTCGAGTTTTGGATCTCACTTTGGACGCAGGGTCTGCACCGACTCCCGCACCGGCCGCTGCCGCCGGCACTGCACCTCTAACCCTCCAAACCGCTCTCCCAGCGACAGATCCTATTGCACAAGCATTCTGCACCGCTCTCTCGTCCCTAAACCGCATCACTCACCTCGTCATCCGCAAAGGCCCCACAACCTACCTCACCCAACCTCGTGTTCGCTACGTGCTGACTGCGCTCGCAGAGTCTGTCAGCCGATGGGAAGAGTTGGAGGATGTTGATATGCCTTTCAAGGTGTCCTCGGACGATTCGACGAGCGCAACTAGCCCTATATCGGCGGTTCTCGGAGGAATGCTGTTCCCTGCTCTCAATCAGAATCAAAATCAGAATCAGGGTGCTGTGCTTCCCCAGGCTCAAACACCGACGCCTGCTACGCCGACAACTCCTGGTTCTCCTAAACCTCAGGGACCGGTTACGCTTCTTGCACATGCTTTGTCTTCCTCTCCTCGTCTGCGTTCGTTCTCGACGCACATTCCGACTGTGTGGAACGAGGTTCTTCTCGTTGTTTCCAAGAACCCGAGTTTGGAGAAGATTGTGCTAGGTGAAGGTTCTTCTGGACCTGGTTTGAGGCTCGGCGGCGGAAGAGCTAGTATTTCCGCTGGTAGTGGGATTAGCACCAGTCCATCTGCAGGAGGTGTTGTTTTCACTGGGCTGTACATGTCTGAGGCCAAGAAGCATCCTAAACTTGTTGAACTCATCAAGGCGGGCACGTACGTGTTGCTTCCTGTTTCTGTCCTTTTCTGGTCATCGTTATTCAAATCACTCTTTCTATTTCTAGCCCCATCCTCCGCAACCGTTCGCAAACTGTGGCTTCTCGTGGTGCACTTGTTTCTTCTGCATCCATGTCGTCTATTCCTACTCTCGCCTCCACTTCTGCCACATCATCCTCTGCGGCCGCCTCTTCCTCCGCTTGTGCAGCTACCGAGAAGCGCTCGCTTCCTGTGACGCCTGAAGATTCCCCGTGTCAGTTCCATGCTGGGTCTTCCTCGGCGGCACCGTCGTCGCCTTCAACGTCCACGAGGAGCTTTAGGAGGAGGAGTTTGGCTGTCTAAGCCCGAGCTGGTGAAGCCGCCACCCTCTATCTATCTATTATGACTATTATCATGCCCATACCCAATGCCGACAACACAACCGACACATGTACATACTTGGTCGGCTTGTACATATAAAACCCCAACCTCGCAACAATCAATCAAGCGACGGACGAATATGAACATACGAACAACCATACGACAAATCAAATCAAATCAATCAACGAACGGACATATATCTTGGTGTATACAGCTATTATTTTTTTTGGTGGGCACAACGATGACGACGACAAGCTTTATACCCCCGATATACCCCCGTTCCTGCTTTTTGGCTTCTTGCATTCACTCTCACTAGCATCCTCGGAATTTCCTGTCATACCATCCATTCATTCTTGACATGTTTCTCTCGTTCACGTTCATACTATCATTCACATTTCATTCACTCAATCATCCAGGTTTCATGGTTCATGTCTCCATACAGATACGGGTTGCGCATTTAGTTCTATGTTCCTAATCACTTGACTTTTTTCTGTCTTCATGCCTATAGTACGTTTTTTTCTCTCGTCTTCTCTTTTCCTATACTCCTCTATTCTACGATGGCAATGACTCTAACAGACTAATACCCTACCTTACCTTACCCTACCTCCACACTTGCCTCCACCACCACCCTCCAACCCTCGGTATCAATACCCCAAAAAGTCAAAGGTGTACAATCCAAATCCCCATGTAGACTTCTAGATTCATTGTACATACCTGCCTACCTTCGCTCCTCTGGATCCACTTCCCGCTATCCCCTCCTACTCCTTCCGCCTTCCTCTCTTCCTCCTCCCGACCTCCTCTTACTCTTCCTTCCTCTCTTCCTCCTGGTATCCGATCCCGACTCGAGCTATTGTACATACTAACCAACCAACTAGTACTCCGTTACTCATGGACACGATACATACATACTTACATACATACAGCGTCTCGATATCTTTATCCGTTTTTTATCCCTTCTACTTATTTTCCTTTTTTTTTCTCTTTCTCCTTTTACTACTCGAATACGTCTTAATAATGGGCTGCAATACAGAGAACTTTTTTGCATTCTATTTGATAAATTCCGAGTGATCAGGACGAGAATGAAAGGAATGGAAAAAAAAGTTGACACTGTATTTAAAGAATGGCTGCTCTGTATCAAGCAAGCAGAAGCACCCAAGAGTCGACGAAGAAAACTTGACTTATTGAATGCACACAACTTGGGGCTACTGGATCTACCTATAGAACCTCTGACGACTCTTCCCCGCGAAAAGAAAACAACAGACAGGAAAGACGAAAAAGGAAAAAAAAAAACAACGACATTTTGCAAGCGGTGCAATCTGCCCCAGAGAGGCTCGAACTCTCGACCTTCCGATCATTATTTAACTCTTTACAGATACATAACAGTCGGACGCTGTAACCAACTCAGCCATGGGGCATTAACTGCCTGTACTTAGCAGAAACTGCATGTTTAGGGGGTGGAGGTGGCGCAACGGAATCAAATTAAACGATTTTCGGAGGTAAATTATCGGAATGGAGGTAAGTAAAGCTGGTAGTCCTATGTACCTCTTGCGAAAGCTGTGGTCGTCTACCTGCTCCAGAGATGGATTGGTTCGAGTGATATATACTATAACAGTCGGACGCTGTGGCCAACTCGATAGCTAGAAGTAGTACTGGATACAGTGTCGGTGGTGTAGAGCGGAAGTAAATTAAAGCCCCTATTCCAGGCGAACACCATTTTGAAGAGTACTTTACTTGAATACAGTATTTAGGCTTAGTGTACACCTCATTGAATGTATCGGTTTCATACCAACTTGTCAACTTAATGAATATCAACTGCCATTGCTTTCAAGCAGGATGAATTCAAAGCTGACGCACAGATGCTAATCTGCTGGGGGGATCTATCTAATATACCAACTTGAAGGGATTGCGAGTAAGACTGCCAATCTGAGGACTCATAGTACCCACATTGCATACATGCACTCAGTGTACATCGTCAGTCTGGTTCACGAAACTACTATGACATACCGTCCAACACGGAACCGATGCATAAAACTTACTAGTATGACAATTTTTTCATGAGCTATATACGTCAACCAGTCAGGCTGTCGATACGTCCGGGAACTGACCCGGTTATACAAAGTCCTACTCGGAACGCGAAGAAAATGAGATGACATACTCCAGGAACAGCGCCGCTGAACACTGAATGAAACGAACGCGTCGAAATCGGATTGATATACTTACATACCAAGTAATAGTAATATACACCGGTTCACCCTAGACGGGAAGCTATGTACTCGTCTAAAAGTTGGATCCCGACATGGAACCATCTCTCAAGTGTCCGAAATAAAAGGCTCGCAGGGCGGGATGCGCCACACACCGTCTAGTATTGTACTAATGTCTTGATACTCCATCTCTGGAAACACGTAAGTGAAAATATGGCATCAAATCAATGTCCGTAGTCTATCATCCCCCAATTCCGAAAACAGCGTACAGGGCATGTTGTGGCGCTACTCCAAGTTCAAGCGATTGTGGATTGCGCTATCTACAGATCCTTATTGTCATTTTCTGTCAAAATTTCATTCATAAAGTAAATTTTTTGTTATTATTCTTTGTTTCTTCCATTCTTGAAATTTAGAGAGATGCAGATATTGAATCGGGCTCATCGTTGTAAATATATTGCCACAGGCACTAGTATATCACATGCGAACCCGAGGTAGTTCATGTAGAGACTGCATACATGAATTCGTGACCCTCTTTTTTTTGATAGATGCGCCTCCGAGTCATGCGGGGTACTCAAAGTTGTGTAACGTTTACTTGCACCTTTAGCTACTAACTCAGCAAATAATCGAGAATTGATTTGAGTGGTCCATGGTGATGCCCTCGTGCAGAAATTCAATTTTATTCAATCGGTAGTGATGCTGCATAATATAAGAACGACCGCCTGTTTTCAGTGTCTTTTGTCTTTTTGTCATTTGTAGCTTAAACCACAGAACACAGAGCTTTCCCTCGGATTTAGCACTTGGTTCTCTCCGCTGCAACTAGATCTGACTCGAAATTTCTCAGCTTTGACCGAGACCCCCGAGCCTAGTCAGGGACTTGGCAGTAAGTACCGCCTGTGAGTTAGGCCACTCTACCTCAGCTTGGAGTCATCAGGGATACGATCAGACTTCCGTCGGCCATATCTGCGATTGTACAGGATTAGATTTGCATTTGAACAGTCTCTTCAACGTTGAATCATCTCTTATCAAGAAAGATAGAATCGTTATTGTTTGACTCACGATGAAAAGTCTATGTAAGTATATACATTGACAGAAGAACAAGCTTACAAGCTTAGATTCTGGAATTCATCTTGGACTGAACGCCGTCCCTCATACTGTGATTGGAGCTAGAGTTAAAGGTTTTTGGACGTCTGAATATTTCGTCTAGAGGCTCTGTCTGAATGCGGTTCATATGATCTCGTATAAGCTCTGCCTGCTGAAGAGAAGAAGCTTTTGTGAAAACTAGTCTCTTGTTTGACATTGACAGAGGACTGAAGGCTCACACTGACTGATATGACTTGTGTGTTAATCTACTTACGCTGATATTCATACTTTAACTAAAGCTCGAACAATTATAATGTACGACATGCTCTTCGCCCTCCTTCCGTCTAATCCCACTTCCGTACAAAAATTTGGTTCACTAAGACGCTTCAGAAATCCCATAATTTGAAAAGATCCATTGAATAGGCTTTCCCTGTGTCCGTGTGTGGGACTAAATTTCGCACTGAGGCGCAGCCTAATGTAAACATAAAGATACCATACTGTTTTTGACAGATACTACAGTGTGGTAATAATGCACCGGTCTGAAAGCACCGGATCCGCAGTCTGAATAAAATATTGTGGTGGTAGATTGTTGCATTTGTCCCCAAGTTCTAGCCGTCATTCAAGATCCCCGCCCGGTTCTACACGCACTGACTCGGTTCTAAAATAAAGTAAAATATTGCTTGCTCTCCGCCGGAGAAAAATTGTGTACTTACATAGAATGTCTCAAGACAAAACGAAGTAGATGACATACGCACAGAGACAAAAACCGTGTGAAACTACCGCTCTCGCGGTTAGGCGCGGAGTTTCAAACCATCAAGAGCGCTCTCGCAAAACTTGATTCGAAAGAATAGGGCAAAACTACAATGAGGAATAAGTATGGCGGTGGGGTATAGACCAATAGTACTAGCTTACTGGTCTACATAAGGGTACTACCTGTCACTGACATAATGACTGACTAATAGCTGGTGTGACACGTTGATCCACCTTTCCCAAACCACGACAGAGGCCCAAAAGCAGATGCAGCTTCTCTCTGACGCAAATAACAACAGTGTTCAAGGCAGCACCTTTAACGATGTACACGGGAATCAAATCAACATCACACATGTTGTTACTGTTGGTGTGTTCGGTGGATATCACTCATCCGGAAAGATCTGACGAATAGATAGTCTCCAATGGCCAGGAGGTCGGTAAAACCACTCAAGTAGAACATATTCCGCTTCCTTCCGATACTGATCCATCGGACAACTCCACAACTTCCACCACCACTGAGCTCAAAGTAAAAGTCTCAGCAATGCTCGATGAAGCAGTGGCCAGACGCTCACAGAAGCTCGAATGGCGCACATCGATTGTAGATTTGTTGAAAGTTTGCAACATGGATTCTAGCTATAGTGCGAGGAAGAAGATGGCACTAGACCTCTGTTGGGATGGGGATATGAACGATTCATATTCGATGAATGTTTGGTTGCATAAAAAAATGATGGCACAGCTCATGGGGAAGGTGGAGGGAGGGAGTAGTAAGATTGCTTGGTGTGTTTGACTGGGGCCAGATATGTTCAGTTGTACGTGTAGCTAAATCTGCGCTCACCGAGGTTTTGAAGAACAATTTGTATTTATATTCCGGATCATATCCCAAAGTAGTTGTCATGTAATTTGCTAAGGATTGGCTGAAGTTCCTATATTGCCCACGTAATTCAATTTTGCATTGCAATATCCTTCCAATCCCATTTATAATGTCTTGTCAATACCACTGACAGTTTGCTACTTTCTGACTATTGAAATACATTTGTGAGGTGTATGTCCCGGGTCAATGAGCATTTTCTGGTTTGCTATAGATTCTTGTGATTAGTCTGATCAGCCTATAAATATGTAGCGCTTATTCATGTTTATCTAGAATTTTTGATAGATGGCTAATAACTAATGTAAAATCGCAGTTTTGCCAATTTTGAAGCCTCGCTCGAACACTTTCTTGAAAGTAACGTGGCGTTTCAGGGTTATTGATGGACAGTTGGCAAAATTTGACCTTACGGCTTAACCTCACAGGCTCACCATACTAAGTATCCAGGACAGAGGTTTGACAGAGCCCATCCGATGTCGAAGGCTTGAAATCGCCTAGGTAACTAAAGTCTCTGTGAGTCTCTATCGAACGTGAAATCAATGGACGAGCGCGACCACGACATCCGCCAGAATGCATTCCCGGCGAATTCTCTTCGATAATCATCGGCAAGGGCGCCAAGGACAGTCAACCAACTTAAGTGTTTGACTCTTCTCACACCTCGCGATCAACGCCTCTGATCTAGTACTGAAGTATTTCACATTTTGAAACTTGTTTGAACTGTGCACAGGTAAATATTGAAATTCTTCAAGCTGACTGATACTTATACTGATAACTTGTTCAAAGCTCGGATACGCGGCCGTTATGTATCCCCCTTTGAACTTACAGTAAGCATTTTTTTACAGTTGATATCGGTGACTGAAGTTCTTTTTCATATGCCAGCGTTCCATGTAACAGAATGAAATGCAATATCAACGACGCTCCTATGGCAGACGCCGCTGTCAACCTGACAAAAGCAAAAGACGCATTTCCCGAATACCGCCCGCTTCATGATGTTCCTCCGATTGCTAATACAAACGCCACTGGGAGAAGAGTACCAGAGTACGTTTTAGGTTGGGAGTTGCCTTCACGGGACGCGTATTACGACAAATATATTCGGCCTGTACATGGGTCAGATGGCTATACAGAGCTGCACGACTGGCATGAGGATGTTATGCTCAAGAAGTGGAGGGAGAAATATGGAAGAGAATTCTTCAGGTTGGTTGATTTGTATTGGATCCTGGTTTATGGATTGATCACATTGTTTCGGTTTGCAGTGATTTCATACCTCGTCGTGTGCGCAATCCCAATGGAAGATACATTCTTGCTATTGGGTCCAACGCAACGCGAAACGAAATTAAAATCTGTATGCGTCGGGACCCAATAGCCGCTGGAAAGGACGTGTTCAAAATGCATCGAGACCCCCAGTGGATCAGGGTGGATGTTACTAGAGATTGACATACCTCCTAATACAACTTCAACGATAGATCTTCGCTCGAACAAACTAGTATTCTTCTCTATCCCTTGGCTGCCTATATCGAGG